GGGGCTTGGGGTGCGGGGGGGGGTGTTGGAGAACAGCCCCGGGCGGGGCAGGGGGCTTGGGGTGCGGGGGTGTATGTTGGAGAACAGCCCCGGGCGGGGCAGTGGGATGGGGAGTTGGAGAACAGCCCCGGCCGGGGCAGGGGGCTTGGGGTGCGGGGAGGGGGTGTTGGAGAACAGCCCCGGGCGGGGCAGTGGGATTGGGGGGTTGGAGAACAGCCCCGGGCGGGGCAGGGTCCGAGCCGCAGATCACCGCGCTGTGGCTCAGGGGGCAGAGGAGGGACGCGAGCCCGCCGGTGGGTCCGCCTGAAGGCGGGCAGGGGTGAGTGGATCCCGCGGCGGGGCGTCCCCTCCCCGCTGTCAACCCCCGCCCCTCACCTGCCGGCCGGGCGGGCTCCGGCCGCGCTCTCCGCCGAGCCGTCGCGGTCCAGGGCGCAGGCGGCGCTGAGCGCCGCAGCCAGCAGCTCCATGTGAGGCTGTGAGAGCGGCGGCGAGTCCGGCTCCGAGCGGCGGCTGCCGAGCGACTCCGCAGGCAGCGCGGGACTGGGGGAGGCCGGGCGGTTGCCACGGCAACGGGGGTAGGAAGGCAGCAGCCTGCGCGGGAGGGAGATAGAGACCTGCAGCGTGCGCGGGGGAGGGACCCCCGGCCCGGCTAGAGGCCCCGGGACAGCGACCGTCGCACCGAGTCCCCCGGACACCGGACTGCCCCCCACCCGAACCCCCGGGGGACCCATTGGCCCCCCAGAGCCTCCCGGACACCGAATGCCCCCCGAACCCCTGGGAGACCGACCGCCCCCCCCCAGTCTCCTGGACACTGACTGGTCCACTAGAGCCCCCTAGCCCAGCTAGAGCCCCCAGAAGACCGATCAGCCCTTCCCCAGAGCCCCCTGGACACCGACTGCCGCCCCCAAGACCCCAGGAGACCGACCGGCCCCCCCCCAGAGTCCCCCGGACACCAACTGCCGCCCCCCAGAGCTCCCTAGCCTAGCTAGAGCCCCCAGGAGTCGGATGGCCCCTCGTGAGCCACCGGGAGATGACCTGTCTCCCCCCAGAACCCTCCCTCCCAGCCCGGCTAGAGCCCCCAGGAGATGGACCACCCTGGAGAGAACTACACTCCCCCAGCAGTCCCCTCCCCAGCTAGAGACCTACACCCCCCTGAGAGGTAGCACCTGCCCCGATAGAGCCTCCCACAGCTGCACCCCTTTCCCAGGAGCACCCCTGAGAGCCCACTACCCTGGGTACATCACCCAGAGGCAGACATGCCCCCGCCAGAGGTCCCTGCCACCCCCACCCACCCCCGTTCCAGCAGCCACCATTCCTTTCCCCAGACAGATCTCAGAGACATGTGCACCCAGCCACCCCTTACTGCCTCCAGCCCAGCGCACTCACAGAGGACCTCTTCATAGCCCCTCAAACCCAGAGCACAGGTCTCCCCACACACACATAGAGGTGTCCCCTACCCCTTGCCTCCTTCAGTTTGGGGCACAGAACCCACCTCTCCTCCTTCGTCTGCACCTCACTGCCGTGGAGCAGAGAGAGCAAGGCCAATGAGTGTTTTGGAGGGGAAGTGTGGCGTTTTTGGATTACTCCCGGATTTGGTGCATATTGTGCATTTCTTCTACTGAAAGCAAATTCTGAGATGGAGGAAAGACTCAAAATAATTCCCTCCTCCAGTCGCCCATCATCGGAACATTCTCTCAAATCCAAATTACCTCACAGACAGAACAATTACCTTCCTCACCAATACAGGGGATTTTGCACCTTCTTCCCTGCACGTCCCTCTCTACCTAAGAATTGTCAGCTTTACAGGGATTTTTTTTTTCAGACAATAGATATCAGTACTTTCAGCACTCTAAAATCTATCTTCATTCAGGTAATCTTTATGCTGCCTCAAGGGTGACTCCGCTTGAACTTTAGCATACAGTCACACCCCTCTGATCAATTTGAAAACTTGTGGACAGGCTGGGTGCTGCTCTGCTACAACTTGCTAACTCCCAGGAAAAAATGGTAATTCATGCCAAATTAAATCTGAGGATTTAAACAGGAAATTTTCAGCCAAGTTTCCCAGACAAACCTTAACTTACCCCTTTGCATATATAAATATGGCTTTTTTCAATACGTAATCATACAATTTAGGCAATAATAATGAAATCCGTATGTGGATCTCAATGTTTAGGTAAAGGCAGATTTTTTTTCTCTGTTATACTGTAGTATTTGCCAAATAATGCATCAGGATAATTTGGCCCAACTTCTTCCAGTTACACTGGTATAAATCCAGAGAAACTCAACTGACCACCACTGGACACCATCTGGGTTTACAATGATTATCACACATATTCCTGGTAGAACCCCTCTTGGCTGGAAACTCCAGGCTGCTGTGTTGGGGAGGGAACCCAAAACACTAGATTAATGTGCTCTTAAGCTTCCCTTGGGCAGAATAGGTTGCAGCACTCTCTCTGCCCTTGGCATCTTTAGCACATTTCCTGAGCACAGGCAGGCTGTTACCCCTTTATAGAAATGGGATCTCATAGCCTAGCTGCCCTTGGCCCCCAGGACCAATGGTGACCTACTCGCAGACTCCCTAGTAGCTTAAGCACGCCCTTTCCCAGAGTTCCATCCATGGTCGCTCTAGTAGGTTTATAGTTTAACTCTTGAGGGGCACATACTGGTGAAGCAAATAGACATACAGATAGACTTTAGAAAGTTTTCCAAAAACAATTACGCTTTACTTAAATATTACAAGAGAGATAAAGATGTAGGCAAACAATAAAACACCTATGTGTATTTCCCTACTTCAGTTTCCTCACCAGTCTTGAGCATTCTTTGGGGTTTAGGATGCCCCCTTCCTGCACACAGTTTCTCAACCACGGAATGTCTCTCTCATCTGTGTCCCAGTTTCCTTCTTTCTGGCTGATCCCTCAATTAAACAAGCCCACACTGCTATGAAAGCATTAAGCATGCTTCTCTTCTGCCCAAGCTTCCTGTGTGTCTCAGGGCATCACTCTACTCATCCAGTCTCTGTAGTTTTAAAGGCTAGTTCTGTCCCCTTTTGGGGGGGAAATATTCCACCCAGAAAATCCTAGCCTTGCAGGCAAACTTGGTTGAACTGGTTTCCAATCCTCTCTCAGGCAACTCTTCTTAGCATACACATTGTTTGGGCAGAGCACAGTGATTAAGGTTAACTGCTCTCCTTTGTCCCTGGTCTGGGGGTTATGTAACACAGACGTGACAGCACCTGGCTAACTCCACATCCATGATACAGCAATTTCATAATACCAGTCAGAACTCATAAATTGTACATACACGGATTTTCTAAATCATCACAACCAGTGTTACTGAAGAATTTGGCCTTTTGTGAGGGTGTGCTGGGAGAGGATAACAGCTGCTAGTGGTCACAGAGGGTTTTGATAACTCAAAGGGGGATCATGGGATAGTCATTGCATTTGACAGCTAATAGGGACAGTTAGGGGCTTATCACAATGGGAAGTTTGAGAATTGGAAGGGGGTTCTGTGTTTTGTCACATCTGTGAATTTCATGGAGTGAGGAGCATTTGAGACCAGGACTGGGGGTCAGGAGTTTGTCACTAGTTAGAGGGTCAATATGATAGGAAAGCTGGGTGATACAGCACTTATCAGTCATGTAGAAGGGTCTGGGGGACAGACAACTGTGAGGAGGGCCAAAGGCTTGGAAATGGGGTAAAGTGTTCAAGAGCACTGGTTGCAATGAGGCTGGTCTGTCTGATCAGTGGATAGTGATTGAAAGCCGAGCACTTGTCCCTGAGGTAAGAGTATTGGAAGGGTTGACAGCTGGGGGTGTGTGTCAGAGAATTGATACTTACAAGGGAGGGCAATTACTTTGATGAGCCTGTTCCTGGTAGAGTTAAGAGCTGTCTATTCTTCACTCTTGCCTCAGGATCAGGGCCAAGAGTGAGGTAGTTCTTCCTAAACCCGTATCTACCAATGGGGTGCCAGAGCAGCGAAATGCACAAACTTTTACCAATTGTGCTAAAATGAACACAGTTCTAAATATGACTTTCATGGGCACTTATTTAGATAAATCTCACAAGAAACTGATGCATGTTAAAAGGTTAATGAATTCAACTTTAATAACTTTTGTGCTAGTATTTCTTAACCAAATATTTTAACAATTAATTCTTATACGGCATTTTTTCTCTGTAGATCTGAAAACTTTGTACAAAGGTTGGAAAGTATTATCTCCATTTTACAGATGGGGAGATTGAGTTACTACTGAGACGTATAATGTAAGATGCTCAAAATTGCAGCAAGTCAGTGGCAGAGTCAGGAGAAGAACCCAGATATTCTGACTGTCAGTCTCTTGCCCTGTTTTACTGGGCCACCCTCTCAGGGGTTAAATCTATGCCAAATCTGAACTTTTTAGAAACGTATCAGAGGGGTAGCCGTGTTAGTCTGTGTCCACAGAAACAACAAGGAGTCCAGTAGCACCTTAAAGACTGACAGATTTATTCGGGCATAAGCTTTCATGGGTAAAAAACCCACTTCTTCAGATGTTTTTTTTTTAGAAACATAAGCATTTTGGGTTATATGCAAAAATAGAAAACATTTTTCCCACAATCCTATAACTGCCTGTTAATTAAGACAGCCTGCTTGTTTTTTCTTCAAACTTTCCACAATAAACTCACCTTTGGGCTGAGATGAAAGCATGAAAAATGTGAGTCCAAATTTTTTTTTAATGAAAGCTATGAGGAGGTGAAAACAGGAGTTTAGAGAATGGAATGCCTTCTGTGACCATCGGAGGTCACTACTGTGATAATAAAGAACATCCCACATTTTAGTCCCATGTAAACCTGTTCCATTTTTATGCACTGACAGTCTCATTTTCCTTCCCCTAGGAAGAATATTTTTATTTTTAAACTTTAATCTTTGAAAAGTGTTGCCCTTTCTTCCTTGCCAAATAAACATCACCTACTCCTACTTCAGTCTCTAGGTCTATAACTGAAGTGCTCCTCGTAATCAGAACAAGTGCTTCCTGAAGAAAGGGCTACCCACACCCAGCAGGAGAGAGAAGTAGGAAAAAGAGAATCTGACTACTGGTATGACGTGCATTTTAAAAATGAAGCTTCAATCCTGCAAGCTGGTGAGCACCTCCTGTTAGGTGCTGAGTGCTTTCTGCTCTCACTGATGAAACAGCAGACACAAAGCAACTTGAAGACTGAGCTCTACATTAAAATAAAAAAAAAAAAACTACAGTTCCTCTTTAGGAATTGTGGGGTTTTCTGAAGCACCCAGACACTGGGAATTATCCCCATGTGTGCCTATCCCCATTTCATTAGCCCTAAGGGCACTGGGAAAGTTCAGTGTGGCTATGTGCTAAGAAGAGGGAATGTGAGTTGTGTGTATTTCTTCAAGGAAGTAGGGGGTGGTGTGGTTGCCAAATGTCCTTAGCTTTAGCATAGTGCTGTTGGAAGAGAAGATTTTAAAGTTGGCTGACCTGGCCCATGGCTATATTAAAAATGTGATAACTTACTGGAGTTCATAATTTGCCTATTTCAATATTATAGTTATGGCTGGATTTTTATTCTAAACCCCTATTTTGAGGTGCTAATAGTTTTTCA